AATTTCTTTTAAAAAAAAAATCTTGTCCATGGCACTCTGTCTGTGTGTGTTTTGAATTTTCTGGAAAATGAGGGTTGAGTCTAAAGTCCATCGTGGGACAGGTGGCCCATATGTCTGTGTGCCCCATATTGCCCCCTCCTCCCCAGTCCTCTTCCTCACAGTCCAGGATGAAGTTCCCTAGTAGATTTACACAGAGTTCTTGAGGAAATGGCTTTTCATTTTATTGTTTCACCAAGAAGGCCTGCCATCATGATCTCTGTGGTCAGGTTTTGCTGACCTGAAGGCTATGCAATTGGGGGTTTCTATTTAATAAAAAGAAAAAACATTATGAATACAAAATTAGACCTAGGGTGGTGACCTGGGCTCTTGGAAGTGGGAACCATTAGCTTTGTTAGTTTCAGGTGCAGTGGCCTCTGGCCACGAGGACCCATCCTCGTGCTGAAGTTGGAGGGACCAGTGGGTTCAGTGGGAAATTTAACTGAGTGTATCTCATGTTCTAGGGATTGTCCTATTTGTGCTGTGTGTTCCTTATTTGAGATAGTGAGCTCATTTAACCTGAATAGCCTCTTTAAAAAATTAGACTTTTTATTTTAAGATGTAATGTAGATTCCCATGTAGTCGTAAGAGATAATATGGAGAGGCCCTATGGACTTTTGCCCAATTTTCCTTAATGGTTCCATCTTGCAAAGTTGGGGTACAATTCATTACTGACTCACTAACACTTTGAGGTTTGTGTTATTGCCCTCATTTCTATTCATGATTAAACTAGGGCTTAGAGAAGCCCACAGGCCTGTCCAGATCACCCACATGGTTAATGTAGAGTCGGGTGGAACATGGGCTTGGGATTTCCAGGCAGTACCATTATGATGGTCTGTGGCAGGGGGCAGCATTCACTTTGCTTGTTTATTCATTCATTCAACAAACTTTTATTGAGTAACCTCAGTGGGTCAGATGCTTTCATAGGGTTATCAGATTCTTCAGCAGTACTGATAATCAGGTAATATTTTCTTTTTTAATCTGAGAAAATTATCTCTGAGAAGTTATAACCCCCCAAAGGAAATATAGCTCATAAAGGAGGGATTGTAAATTTGTACAGTTCCCCCTTTTTATGCAGGTGGTACCCTAGGCATTTTACATTTGCAAACTTCCGTAATCCAGATATATTCTTGTAAGGCAAGGATTATATTTTTAATTGAACTATAGAAAAGTTTACAGTGTTGTGTCAATTGCAAGGTGTTTTTCTGAATTTTGAATTAAAAAATATTTTTTGAGGAGGGTAATTAGGTTTATTTATTTTTTTCATTTTTTAAATTAGGTTCTGGGGATTGAACCCAGGACCTCGTACATGCTAAGTATGTGCTGTACCACTGAACTGTACCCTCCTCCCCAAGACAAGTTTTCTTATCAATTATTCTGCAGCTTAGGAGTTCAGACAAATTGGAGTTAAATCCAGATGTTTTGATCCCACTGTGGTTCTTTTCTTTATATTCTGCTGAGGCGGGTTGGGAAAGCACTTCCTTTGTTCATTTCTTTATTCAGCAGGTTTGAGCACTGACTTTGCATCAGTGTCTGGCTAGGTGCTTGGATACAGAAAACAAGAAATGACCCTGCTCGCAGGGGCAGGAAGCCTAGACCAAAAGCTGGGTAATGTGATCCGACCTATGGTAGCCTTGTGCAGACTCTGAGTACAAACTGTACCCCTGTCTTTGGTTGGACTTCCCTTGCCTTCTGGCTGGTACACATTAGGTCACCGCAAGCCAGAGGGGCCTGCAGCCCACAGCACAGTATGTACCTCGATCTCCTCTCCCCTCTCGGCAGGGCCTGCAACATGAGCATCCCTGACTACGTGCAGTGTGCTTAGGACTACAAGACTCACTCCGTGGTGGTCCAACCCGTTGGTATCATCTCAGAGGAGAATCTGTTTTGCATCTATAAGCGAATCTCCTTGGTGAGCCAGATCAGCCCGTGCGGCTCACATTGGGCACTCTGTACCACTACAGGCACCACTATGCGCCCAAGAATGGGTGAGGCGTATTCCAGACCAAACGCAAGGTCATGGGCCTTGTCACCATTGCCGACTACCTCTTGGCCAAGGCCTTCGATAAGCTCCACGTGCAGAAAAGCTGTATGGCACCTCATTAATGACTCTTAGCTCTTTGTGTTTGTGCTGCATTGGGAGGTAGCCGAGCAGACACGCACCGACATGGCCTTCAATCTACGAGGACT